ACCAAAAATGATTGATCTGTGGCAGACAAAGGGGTTGGTTCTTGCAGGGATGTTTCAATCAGGTATTCTGTGTGATTTGCACATGAAAATGTTATCAAAATACTTAAAATTTGGAAGGGAGTTAAGAAGAAAAATAGTTATCAAAGCTTGATCAGTTTGGATGCTTGGTGTAATTGTGAACTCAATTATTTCTCTGCTCCTTTTTTATTGTGGAGGAGGATTTGCCAAGGCTGAAAAATAAATTCATCCAACTTTCTCATAAAAACATACTTTGAAAAAGATCATTGACTGTGCATTGACCATTCATTGATGTACCAATGACTTTCTCATCACTTTTCTTCACATTAACAAAATGAAGGTATTTAAAGATCCACATGAATGTTCACAATGCACTTGTTGCTAGGATATCTACTGGAAATGTTACTTTCATTTTTGCGCAAGACGAGAAGAAGAGATTAAACTCTTCCTGACATGCTTGAAAATATTCTGTCTTCACAAATATTCATAGTGAAAGCAGTTAAAATACATAAATATGTTCTTGTTATTACTTTTTTATATATGTAATTCCTGCCATTGCTGGACAGATGATGCTATATGACTGAATCGGAAGTTGTGGAGGACAAGCTTTTCTCAGTAACTCTTAAGATAGAAAAAGTTTCCAAGCACCTGAAATAACGAAAAAGATTCACTGAATGCAAATGACAGCTTTCATCTTCCTTTATGAAGCACATGCTCATGAATATATACATTTTTGCATATGTAGAAGCTGAAGTGTATCTGCCTTCCGATGAATGAAAGGATAAGGAAATTATGTATTCAGAACTAGTTAGAAGTTTGCTTTTTTTGTTGAATTCTCCCATTTAATTTAAGTTGCTTTCCTGAGACGGCACATTTCTAAGAGGCTGCCAGATTCAAGAAGGGGGCACTGTTACCCCCATCTCCTTCCATCTAAAGGTTTTGTCCTATTTTAAAAACCAGTGTTGCTTTGGGTAATATAACAGCCTTCTGGCAGTTCAGTGCTGTCTGTCTGCACCGTCTGTCCATCTAAAGCAGCCGAGCATGAGAAGCTGATCTCCTAAGGGAATTCCAACAATATCGACAGGCTTGACTGACATAAGACCAGTCTCTCTCACTTTCACCTCCACTGAACTCTTAGAGTAAATTCAGGGCCTGATTGAAGAGAGATAGGGCTTCAGCCATTGACTTCCATGGGAACAGAATTTGAACACTAGCAACTACTGCCCTCTCCTAAAGCAGCCCTGAATATCTTGGCAAATGCTCTTTAGAAGCACTATCAATTTGATCCCGCTTCCTTCTCAGGACTGAAAGCCAAGTTCAGGGCTATTTATGTCTTATTAACTAGAGCAGGCTTTGGATGGGAACTACCGCAAGCATTTAAATCTTCTCCTTGAAGAATGGGTTATGGCTTAATGAACCTTGTTCAGGTTAAAGCTGTTATTTATTCTTGATATTTCTATTTGTTACTGTCAGGTAGAAGTCAAAGAAAGAGCAGTGCCTCCTACCTTGAAGAGTTTATCAAGATGGAATAGCCTGAAATTTGTCTCAAGTGAATCAATTCTCACTTTTCTGACAGGAAAATACCAACCGTAGATTTTCCAGATATGCTTCAAAATACCACACATGCTCAAAACTTTGAGGATGTCAAGAATGATACAAAAAGATGTGCTTATCACTTCAGAATATGAACATCTACAGATATCCAAATTACATTTTCTAATAAGTCAGCAGTGCAAAAGGTGAGAGAAGAGGCAGGGACACAGGCATTTATTTTCAGCCAGTGTGTTCATACAGAGGAAAAGGAGAAAAGTAAAAATTCAGTCCATAAATTGAAGAGTGTCTGTCTGGAATGGAAGAGAGCAAAAGCAGAAAAAGTTTAAAAGATTCCCCTTTTTTCTTCCTCCCCTTCTGAAGTATTTGGGGGTAAAATATCCCACTTCTGCTGCAATCCTTCAATATTATTCACATAACGTTGATATTGTTTGAATAGTTCCTAAATATTTTCTTTTTTAATTGATAACCATACTACCTAATTGTGAATTTTTTTCTTGTCTGAAGTAAATTTATTATTTTTAAAGCACTTCTGACATTTCATGAAACCATTAAAAGAGAATTATACTTAGAAATAGTTTTGCTGATATAGTGGAATAGGATATGCTCTTTCCGGTATCTTCTGTTGTTACCTATTTGATTAGTAAGAGTAAGTACTAATGTCAAATACTCATGGGCATCTGATCTTGCAAAGCCTAGAGAACCTTTCTTACAAGGGATGTCAAGAGGGCTGAAGTAAACCAGAGATGTGAGTTCTAATGTGTACTTAGAGCAACATGTTTGAACTCCTAAGACTCTTTTATACTCTACCTTATGTCCTGACAGAAGACAGATTATTAATTTGATTTCTTTATGTTTTGAGGTTGGTTACCATAGTTGTTTCCAGATGTAAACCATTAAGACCTACACCACTTCAGAGCTAATAAGTTAATTTTCTGTCTTTCTGGTTGTAATGTGCTATGTGCCTGTGTTTTAAAAAAAAAAAAAAAACAAACCAAAACCAACCCCAAACCATCTTATCTGGACTCTGTCTTCCCATCAGAACATTTTCTTTTGATCTTTTTGCTTATGTTCATGTTGATCAACACAGATCGACTTTTTTCCCCAGAATTCCCCTCAATTTGCTGTACAGGAATATAACCTCCCATGCAGAAACTTGCCTGTGAAGGGCATGGTACCGTTGTCCTTTTCCATCTTCTTCCCTACCTCCTGAAAAGTCTGTACAATGTTTTTCACATTTTTTCTAGATGGAGGGGAGTAAAGTTGTTTGGCAGTTCTGTTCAATCTCAGTTAACTTTAGGAAGCCCCAAGTTAACAAATAAGAGGTCGTCAGATGGTAATGCTGGATATCGGGAATTGCAGAAATGGCAACAGCTTCCTATTTGTGGTTGGCTAATATAAAGAGAGGATATGTAGTAAACCATATGATTTCCTAGCTTGCTCAACCGCATCATAGTATATGGGCTAATACCACATGTGTACATTAGCAGATGATCATGGCATGTGTAAATATCCAATGTGCAAATTGTTTTTACATGTTCCTCCTAATGGTATTGTATGCTGCTTGATAGTTGTTCAGTGCCTAAAACAAAAAGCTTTTGAAGTTTCAGATGTGATGTTTAATAGGTCTTTCTCTAATGCTGGCTTAGCACCTGCTCCTCCCTCACAGTCACATCAAAGTGAATTGTAAGTAACCACTCTGAAATCATGCAGCATCGCACTGTGGAGCAAAACTGGTGAAAGTGCAGGGCAATCAGCCCTGTAAAATCTTCCCATCTGCAGAAAGAATCTCCATGGCCACCTGGATGCTTTTAAACCTTCATTATTTTAAATTTAAAATGGTTGGCTGAGCATTGCTTCTACCAAAATCTGATACAATAATCGAAGTCAGAGGTGGGGAAGGACCTCTGGGGTCACACAGTCGAGCTTTCTGCCAATAATGGATTGTTCCCTGCAGTTCAGTTTCTAGTGACCTTGGAAATTACTAGCCTGGTAAAATGGTAATGAAAAAACAAAGCTGTTAAAGCTTCAGAAGTAGCCAAAGCGATGCTGTCCCAATGAGAAATTGTGGTTTTGATGTGAGATTCCCTATGTGCATTGCTCCTTGGTTGCAGTTTTCAAGTGATCACAGTTTTAATCTACACTTTCTGACCCAGTTTGAGCTGTCTGTAACTAAGAGGTTGGGAGAGGTGAGCTTGTTTTAATATTATATGAACTTATCTCATCCTTTAACCAGATCATAATTTTTATTACAAATAAATAAGTCAGCAACTTGTCTAACCCCTCTGCCACAACATTTCCTTTGTGTCCCTGAACTTCTATTCTTTCAACATTTCTAGCCTCCCAGAAACAGGACACAAGGAGGAAAAAACAGATTTCTTGCTTTTTTTCCATCAAAACCCCTGGTTAATTAGTTACAGCCTCTACTTGTCATGCCTGGGAATCAAAAAATTCCTGCAAAAATTCATATGTGACACATCATTTTTAGATTTCTTTCAACCAAGCCAATATTGGTTTACTTCTCTGTTGATGTAGGCAATAAAGGATAATCCTGACATACATCTAATGAAGTGGGTAGAATTTGGCCCCTCTTTTAAGAAGGAGGCAGCAAAGGCAAGCTCCCACCAGCAAGCTAATTACAGTTTTGGCTGAAAATGGTTTGGGAGGTTGTTAAACGCTGGGTAGATGGGGAAAGATCCCAAGACAGAAAGTTCCCTTTCTGTTGTACCCATTTGATGTGTGGTAATTTTGTCACTGGGGGGCCCTATTGTGAGCTGCCTTTTGGGGTGTGCAGCTCTGAAATTCCTTTCTTGCCAGGGCTCCGGCCCCCCTGACTATTGTATTCACACACACCAGATCTCAGTTGGAGAGGAAAGGGGTTTTCTCAGCTGCCAACTTGCTTAAAAGAGGAGTTAAGAGGAAAAGAAAGCTAATTGGACTGTGCTTGGCAGAAGTCTCTATTTTATTCTGTTTATTCAGATTTTTAAAGGATTGGGTGCCGAGAAACACAAAAATAGTGAGAACACTTATTCCTTAAACAGTCTTGCAAAGTTTTTACAATAAAAACAGAAAGCTGCTTTAGTGAAGCAGTGTTTATCCTTGCACTAATGCTGGTCATGAATACATGTCTAACTTAGCTGGAACTAATGCCTGACTCTACTATTCCACTACAGCAACTTAACATTCTGCATAGGCTGATTATTTTTTCAACAATATTTGCTAAATTCTTTTAAGGGCTGCCAGTATATATTTTTTGAAGCTTAGTTAGTAAGAACAGCTGCCAGTGGAGTCGAGGCTAAAAGAGGCAAAAAATATCTGCAGAAGGCAAGATTTTACTTCAAAAGATCAGTATTACAAAGCACTACTGTTGCTGGTATAATCACTTTCTTTGGGGGGGATGCTAATATAGACTGGATTTCTTGTCTTCACAGCCCCCACCGAGCCTTTGCTGTGCAAATTTGCTGACGGAGGGCAAAAGAAGCGCCAGAATCAAAGCAAATACACACAGAATGGAAGGCCGTGGCCCAGAGAAGGAGAGGTAAGTGCCACGCGGCAATTATTTTCCCGGGGTTTGGCAGAAGTCGGCTGCAGACCTGGAGGTCTACCTTTCAGGGCTACGAAGAAATCAGATTGCACACAAAACACAATAGTTTCACACAGAAAAAGGTACATAGCAGGGGGGGAGAGGGAGGCTTATAACAATGTGGGGGGTGTAAACTTACAGGAAAAGACGATTTCAGAGCTTGATATGGAGCTGTGCGTAGCCTTGTCCCACCGCGAGCGCTCTGTCTGCAGCCGGACCTGAGCCCAGTATTCTCTTTACTGGTGTGCCATCAGCAGCTGTAGTGTACCTTTTACAAACCCCAAATCAATTTACTCTTAAGCAACTCAACAATGTTATTTCTTCTATATAGTTCCTGGTGATAAAACATCATCAGGGAATAGGTGGGCTGTTGGAAACGGGAAAGATGCACTTGCACATTCAAATGTATGGTCCACAGAAAAGTTTCTCAAAACCTTATCCGAGCTGGGCTCTTCATTCTGTCCAAGACAAAACAGTTTACAGTAGCCTTGGCTCCATCATGTGCACAAAGTTAAAAAAAAATCTAGTGGTTGCTTTCTGCTCTGCTGCAAACAGTCTGTTACTGGAGTTTCCTTTCTGTGTTCTCGTACATGAAGTGACTACAAATGTGGGTGAATTAAGAAAGGAATTTATTTGACTCTTCAAGAGTTTGTTTACTCTTCCTGAATGTTATTATAGGATAAAGACACTTGAATAAATGAGGTAGATCTGGTCATAGTACCTTCTTATGCATGATGATAGCTACAAAGGCTAAGGACTTACAAGTATTTCCATCCTAAACACCTATTCTTTGTGTTTATGATTGAGACTTCAAGGAAAAAAAAAGGATGTTGCTCAGTTGTAACCCACTAGAATACAAGTTGGGGTTTGTTGTTGTTGTTGTTGGGGTTTTTTTGGTGGGTTTTGCTACATTTACTTCAATTTTACAAAGCAAATAAATAAGAAAGCTGTTTGGTATAAGTTACCTGTTTCTAGAGGTTTTCTGCTTTTTTGTAACTACTCGATTTCGCTAGCTGATACTTTTCGGACCATTAGCTTATGACATATATACCCCAGCACGATTAGTGAGCTCCTCAAACAAACATAAAGGCCTCTTGAAAGCATAGAAATTTCTCCCTCCAGCAAGGTGGTTATTTTACACTGTTCCAACAGCAATGCTCCAAAATATTTTTAGCTTTGTGGGATGAAAGTGCCAGTGTGGCAGCCACATTTGCTACAAGAGATTGCAGAAGTCTCCAGAGGGTCATTGCAGTCTCTTATGTCATATGTCTCAAAAAATGAAGACGTCTTCTTAGGAACCATTATGGTTTGTCATGTTAAGGGTCTACTGAGGAACAAGTGCCCAAGAAGTAGTTCAAGCGGTAGACTCATGACGTCATATACAGAGCTTGAAAAACAAAGGTCTATTTATATAGGAGACAATAATAAACCCTCAATAAGGTCAACAATCCATATTTTAAAGACTTCTAAATCCCTGTTTAAATAGTAAATGCCATTGTAGCTATTATCTCCACTGTTCTATACTTCCTTCAGTTCAAATCAATAAACAAGAGAATAGAAAGTTAAAGCCAACAAGTCACCATTATGCCTGTGGCCTCAGGGCATCAGCTTATTACATCGTACTTAGTTCATTTGCTGCTAGTGGAGTGGCTCGTATTAAGCACAGTGATACCCCAGTGACCTAGAGGCAGGGTGTGGTTGGTGTGTTTATAGTATGAACATTTAAAAACTAATTTTCACTGCTGGGAGACATCATTCCTTATTGTTGTTCACAGTCAACTGTTGTCATGGTATAATCTACAAATGTGGAAAGATTGTAAATATACAAACTCAGAAATATTTCAGGCTAGGAATGTGCTCTGTTTTCTTAGATTTTCTTAGATTTTTGCTGTTTACTAACATCTGGTTAATACCTTACTGCACATTGGATATTTACTACTCAAAGCATCGAAGACAAGAATGCATGTTCTCTTTTAAGGTGACTCATTTGTTGGATTTCTTCCCCACCGTTGTTAGTTTTCTTATTTCCAATGTAAAATCCTTGTGTAATTACTCTTATATTTTATATGCAATAGGGTTTTTCTGACTCTTTGTCCTTCAATGATCTTACTCAAATCACGATGTACCATTCAGTTGTTCTCTGTGTAGCAGCACTCGGGTAACCTTCCTACAATTACTCCTGTCAACTTTAATTTCTTTAAAAAAGAACAGGCAGTCAGTAGTGAGGAATAATTGATATATGACAAGTGTCATAGTTCTGATTACAAATGGGATCTGGAAATACTCCCTGAACCTCTGCTTTTTCTTGGTTTCTTCCCCAAAGAAAAGCATTGAAATAGTGTCCAAGAGATTACTCCCTGGCCAAATCCTGTGGTATCTAGACCAAGATGTATTTGGCTCTTGTTCAGATAAGCCTTTGCATTCTTGAATACGTATGTGAAGGGCTTCTGAGGTTTAACCAACATTAACACTGAGCGTGCGTGAGGATTATTGCTTGGAAGGACAGACCCCAGAGAAATGGCACTAACAGTTCTGTAACTGGCCTCAAATTTGAGTATGCGAAGCAGAGACAGGCAGCAGTGCCCAATACTCTGCTGCAGGGGGGAAATGGCAGGAGATTTAGTGAGGAGGAGCAGGTTTTACCTCTCCGGCCATGCTGTTCTCAGAGGTTTTGCTCTCTTTTATGGAGAGCTTCCGGGGAATTTTATAAGAGACGATTACTTTTTTTGGTAAAGTTTTCAGGCCATACTGCAGAATGTAATAGAAAATCTTACTCCTATCATCCATTTTTGCAGATTGCTTCATAACCATATAGAAGTACTTTAGTTGACTGTTAAATTGGCTTACCTTTTAAAGTCAGGTCTTTAGGAATACAGTGAATTCCTCTAGGGCTTTTCAGGGGGTTTTTTTGGTACTTGGTTACTTGGCCAATTGTAACCAGGGAATAATGCCTGACCTTGAATAGCACTTTCTCGTCCTTACCCTTCCACTCTTGTCTGAAGCCTCAGGAAATACTCAGGAGATTTACTGAGGCATTTTGACTCAGGATTTGTGATGGCTGACCAGTTCTGGACTAAGGGGCCAAGAGCTTAGATTGCTGATGGCTTTGTAAAAGACTGTCAAATTAGGCATCTAACATACAGGTGCAATTAATGTACAGTGAAACCTGCAAATGTTGGAAATCTTTGCAGTGAAATTCTGACCTAATAACTGAGTTATTAGTTTAATTTTTTTTATTTCAAGATAGTTTTTTCTGAGTCACACTGGTTTAATTCAGCACTCTGTTTTGAAACTTTGCCTGACAAGATCGTGTTGAGATGGTGATAGAGGGTAATCATATTCAATTTCTGTCTGTAAAATATTTGATTTAATTTACCTCCAAATTGCGATTGACAAGTGTAGAGGTGGGTGACATTTCTCCAAAAAATGTTCATTAGCTGAAAATGCATCTGGGGAGTCAAAAGTAGTTACAAATTGAGATTAGATTGGATTAAAAACTGCAACTTAAATTTTACAACATAATCTTTTATTGCAGATTTACTGAAACTTTGTTTTGGTTATTCAGAAATAAAATCTTTTGAGATGTGTATTTAAGAGGGGGTTTATTTGAAATTTATCTGGTAGAAAGGGAGAAATCTCACATAAATGGAAAACAAAAGAAATGCTTTGCATCAGCCCGAAGTTTATTACTGTTTACATTCTTCTAGAAAGAACAGCTCTGGAAATGGTAGCCTTTCTATATCTGGTCAGCCCAAACTGATTAAGGTTTTTTTTACAGTCACAATATTTTGAAACCTTTGATACTTCATTTGCAAGTTTCTGTAAAATTTAGAACATTTAAATATTTGCGTTGTCTTTCTTGCAAGAAAATATCACCATTACAGTATTGGTGCATATATCACAACAGCAACATGCACTGTTGAATGCAACCCCCTTGTCATTGAATTTGGTCTGAGGTCTATAATGATATTTAATAATCGCCACCAGTAATTCTTCTATTGATGGCTTTCTTGCTTCTGTAATCTGGGTTACATTTTTGTTTCTCAATAGCCAAGAGGTTAGCCTCCATTTCCTCCCCTTCACTCTCTTCCTCCTTTCCCCCCTTCTCTTTTGTTTTCTTTCAAGATCAGTTGGTGAAATGTCTAAAGAATTAAACATGTTTTTAATTCTTTCTTAAAAAAATAAGATGACCTAGTAGTTTGGGAATGTTGCTTTTGTTAACAGTTTCTCTTTTTATCTGCTACTCATTACAATTTTGTCTAATATAAACAGTAATTTAGAGAGAAAAACATACAATAGGTAATTTGAGAGACTTCCTGATTTTTTTCTAAAGTCAGTACCAGTGAAGGGCTGAAGCAGTTGATCCTCGGTGCCAGGCGTCCCTTCTTTACCAGCAGCAGGCATTTAGAAATGATTAGTAGGTCTGTTCCAGGCCCATTTATAACTCAGACATAGATTTCTTTTTATACTTCTAAGGAGATAGGTACAACTTAGTTGTGTTCCATAACCCTCAGTGTCTAGGGCTGATGTGGTTTATACCTAGACAAATAATTTTTCCTTTTCTGTGGGAGACAATTTCCAGGCCTTTCCAGATATGCAGTAGTACCCTCATATGCAAACCATGCACAAAGACATTTACTATATATTTAGCGTGCATGTAAGTTAGACATTGGTCAGTATTTTGCATGCTTATTTTCAGCAAAAGCTTAGTTTAGCAATGAGAGGCACTGAACCTGAAGAGAAGCCTATACAGAGGGAGAAAGTAGAAAGGCAAATGGTAACTGGCAAATAAGTGAAAAGATACAGAGCAACGAGTTAAAAATTCTTCATGACACAAGACACTGTCATTGTGGGCAATGTTTTGAAAAGGTCCCTAAGTGGCACAAATACCAAAGCCCAGTTTAAATGGTTGGATTTTGAGCTTCTAAAGCAGATAAAAATATTTTAAAATAATGACCTATATGAAACCACTGTACCTGAAATCAGGATTTTAAAAG